CTTTCTGCTTTTCTTCTGCTACTTCAGCTATAGTTCTGCTACTTTCTGCTATACTTCTGCTACTTCAGCTATAGTTCTGCTACTTTCTGCTATACTTCTGCTACTTCAGCTATAGTTCTGCTACTTTATGCTATTCTTATGCTATTTCAGCTACAATTCTGCTATTTATGCTATTCTTCTGCTATTTCAGCTATAGTTCTGCACAAATGGCATTCACACTTGCATTTTCGTAGGAAATGCAAATTTTTCTAGTTACTTTTAAGATTGTTTTAGAGGAAAATAGTCATTTTTAGCATGCTCAAATTTCGCTCTCTCCTTTTTAAGTGTTTACAAGTGTTTACAAGACTTGGTGTTTTTTATGATTTGTTGATTTTGCGTTTGTAATACTGGTGTTTTCCTGTTAAAGAAATAACATTTTCTCAGTTTCTTTTCAGAATCTGGAGAAAACTCAGAGCTCAGAGGAAAAGGCTGAATGTCAACAATGGATGCCCGTGATCTTTGGGTCTGTTTCTGTTCTGGACCTCACGTGGACTCAGGAAAGCTTCCACAAATCGCTGTGTGTAAACACAGTTCACTGTGTCATCCACAAATCGTGCAGTGAAGATGCTGTATGTGAACACCATGCCAGTGTTAATTTAACACCCACAGTGTTGATTTCAACACCAACAAAGTGTCTTTATGTGTCCACATGTGCTGGTGTTAAAATAACATTTGTGAAAGTGTTAAATTTTAACCCTCATTTTGTATATAATTTAACACCAACTAGTGTTTAATATTCAACAATACTGGGTGTCATATTAACATTTCAACAGTGTTAAGATGAAGTGTTAAAAGTAACACCAGTGTATTATTATTATTATTATTATTATTATTAAAGGAAATTGTTGTGTTAGAAAGGTTAACAGACACCACAAGGTGTCAATACACCATAAATCTGAGAGAGTAAATTTAACACTCAAAGTTAAAATCAAACTCTTTGCAGTGGGTGGGGCTTTTCACACTTCTTTCAACACTGCATGGTGTTAAATAACAACACTGTTAAGTGTTATATAAGACTTAATAGTGGGCGGAGCTTATTTAACACTGTCCAGTGTTGATACAACACTGAGGAAATCAACACTGTGAATTAACACCAACACTGGGTGTCAGTTTACTCAGAAAGTGTTAAAATAACACTAGGGGGTGTTAAATTAACACCCAAAAGTTTAACACTGAAATTTAAACACTCCTGTTTTTGCTGTGGACCTTTCAAATGCCTGTCTCTCTGGTGACATGGGGGTGCATTTGTGCGTTACACATCTGGAAAGGCACCATCGATTTAGAGCAACATGCTCCTAGCCAGATGACGTCTTTTTCAGAGAAGGTCTTACATTATTTCACTACTATCTTCATCCCACTWTCTTTTTTTAAAGAGCATCAAACACTCCCATTACATTACATTTCTCATTTTCCCAAACCTAGACATTATTTTTGATCATGCAGAGAGGAGAATCACAATATGATGCGAGGCCCTTGGTCTACTTACCCTTTACAGACTGTTGTCGGAAAAAAAAAAAGGAGGGTGGTAAACGTGGTCCCGTCATCAATGTTTTTGAGATGAGATGTACCACTGCTAAGTTTAACCATCATATACAGTACTTTTACTGTGTTTTATTGTGAAAAAATGTGGGTTTATAGGAGTTGCAAATGAAATAAATACATTTTTTATAGAGAAAACTTTCTAAAACAGTCAAAATGGACCAGAACACAATAGGAGGCCAGTTCCAAAGCAGATTTCTATCTTAAAACACTATGACACTTTTGTATTATATGCTTATTTACATAAAAGACTCCTCTTTAAGTCTATTAGACAGAAGGAGAGGTTACCCACTCGAGGACATTTTAACTTTGTTTTAAATGCTTTAACTCTAAAACCACACGGTCACGTCTGTCCCATCCAACCCCAATCAGCTCTTCACTCCGTTCTCTCTTCCATCAGCGGCCTCGCTTGCAGCCACAAACAAACTGGCATGGCAGCTGTTGCTTACTGCCTATTTCCATCTGGTCTCTGAGAAACGGGCACCTGCCAGGCTTCCCCAAATCTACCGGATGTATCTGCTTGGCAGCGCAGCACCACTAATTATACCGATCCCAGTCTGGGCCTTGAAATTCCCTTCTTGCTTGACTGAATATTTTTGGGAGAAGCCCAAACATTTTTTCTCTCTGTCTTGCTGTCTACAGTCCATCTGTTGTTCTTTTATAGCGCTTTTACAGGCTTTACTGCTCAATAATCACCGATTTGTCCCATATTTGCAGAACCAAGGAAGTTCTCACGGAAACATACAATTGATTTTAATTTAGATGCCCTAGTTTCTAACTGAGTGAGTACTTTGATCTTTTAAAGTTCTTTATTGGGGATTTTATTGAACTCTTCCTCATTTTTGACATTTTTTTTACACAGAATGACTTGTAGGAGAAAAGACTTTCTCTGTCCCCATTTTCCCTCTCTGCTTTCTGTCAGTCTCTCTGAGGTTAGTGTGTTGTGGTTTGGACTCTAACATTTGTGGACAGACTTATGATCTCGGCCACATCACTGCGACTTGTGGCCGCTGACCCGCGGCCAACCGACCGGGCCACTGACTGGCTCACACTTGTAAAAACAAACATAACCTGAAAACATCGGTGGGAAATGAGAAACATTCTAGGAGCATGAAAATGAACAACAGTGGAGTTTTTTTTAAATTTGTTTTTATTGAACAGTGTCATTCTTTTTCACGTGTTTCATGAGAGCTACAGCTCTATTTTGAGCTCTTCTCCGGCCTGCCTCACATCCTGAAAAACACAAAGAAAATCTACATTAACTTCAGCTCATTTATGCAGCATCACAGACTAAAAGCCTAGCACTCCTGTGGTGGGTTCTCACCTTTAAATCCCCTCGTAGGAAGGACTGACAGAAGTCACGCACACGCTCTGTGGAAATTTCTCCCTCAGGTAAGAGCCACTTCATGTCTGAATTTCCATCGTAGATCCCGACTCGAGGGAGATCCTTTGACTTGAGGCCAAAGTAGTTGATGGACTTCAGGTTGGATTTTACAGCTCCGTTGATCAGAACGAATAAAATCTGAAACACACAGGTTTAATTATAGTTACAGGTTAGAACAGATCATTTTGTTTGTGGTAGAACATAAATGAAGACTCTTAGAAGACTGGTTTTACATTAGTTTGCCAGATATGTCTATGAGAACCTTTTCAACTTTTAAACTGTGCAGATGGATTTGAGACTTCAATATTCTCACCTTTCCTGTGAACTCGGGAGCCAGAGCTCCCAGTCGCTCCTTGAGCTCAGAATATTCTTTAGTCCCCCTGTTGGCAAAGAGCACAAGGTGTGTCTTCACCTCTGAATTGAACAGACCCACTGCAGTCTGAGGGGACAAAGAGGAGAGGTCACAGATTGTTAAGATAGCAGATAGGTTTTTATTAACCTTTATTTAACCAGGCAAATCCCATTGAAATCACAGATCTTTTTTGCAAGGGAGGCCTGGGCTGGTGGGCAACCTAAAATGGATGTTTTTGTGGGAGGAAAATTGGAGTACCAGAGCATGCAAACTCCACACAGAAAGACCCCTCGGGATCGAACCCAGGACCTTCTTGCTGTGACACATCAGTGCTGAACAATAAATGTTGTACTGCCAAATATTTGCTTAAATTTGAAGATTTTTTTTCTGACTGTCAATTAAATGAAGTTGAACTCACCACTTGGTTGTACTCTGTGATGTATCGGATTTCGTTGGTGGTGAAGAAATTCACAAGTCCATCAGCGTCTAACTTCTTCATCTCAGAAATAACAAGATTCTCCTGACTGTTATCAGCCTGGATCACAGGACACACATCATCATCATCATCATCTCAATTGCATGTATGGAAACCTCAGAGTGGTAGTGATAGTGCTGAGAGTACTTTTCTGAACAAGCTGATGGAGTCTGAAGGGACACTGTAGTTGGCCCACACCTCCTTCACAGAGCAAATGGCTGCAGGGACAGAATCGACCCGCTTTGAAGCTGCCACGAGTTCCTTGTATCCCTTACTCTCCTCACTCTGCAATACAGAAAGTTTCAGATATTTCACCATTAACATTTATAATCAGGGCAGAATAAAGTAAACACTTTTACTTTTTAATATTACTTTTTTACTCCAGAATCCCTACATAGAGACCAAGTCCTGTGCTGCTTAATTTTCACCAAACATGGTGCTGTGCATTATGGGTAAACACATCTGGCCTCATCAATCTGGAGGACACTGTTCCAAAATGGTTTATTCAGAAGACACTCTGCAAACCTAAGCTGTGCTGCCATATATATATA